GTAACCACTACGCTACCATATATATATGAGTCTTGGGTGGGCACTGTGGGATAAGTGTAGGACCACAAGGTTGGTTTGAACAAGGTTGGTGGTTCAAACTCACCAGTCACTTCTCAGAAACCCTATATTGGGTTGCTATGAGTCGGAATCGACTCTAAGACACTTAACAACATCATATATAAAGATGAGTCCTTGTGTGGTGCTATAGGATAAGCACTGTACTGCTAACTGCAAGGTCAGTGGTTCAAATTCGTTACACATGCCTTAGAAACCCTATACAGGGTCGCTATGAATTAAAGCCAAGTCGACGGCACGTAACAAGAACACATATATATGACAGACCCATTGCCATTGAGTTGATTCCCACTCATAGTAACGTCCGATGTTACAGAGTTGAACTGTTCTGTAAAGTTTTCTTGGCTGAAATAGTTATAGGAACAGATTTCCAGGCTTTTCTTTGATAGTCCCTCTGGGTGGGTTTGAATTACCAACCTTTAGACAAGTAGTAGTCAAGGAACTCTGGTAGCATAGTGGTTACGAATTGGGTTGCAAACCCTAAGGTCAGCAGTTCGAAACTACCAGCTGTTCCACAGGAGAAACATGAGGCTTTCTGCTCCTGTGAAGATTTACAGCCTCAGAAACCCTGTATAGGGTCGCTATGAGTTGGAACTGACTCCACGGCACATAACCAACCAACCAACCAGACTAGTAGTCAAGGGCAAAGACCAACTCGGTGATATCATGTTTATCGTGCTGTGCAAACATTACCAGTATCTGTTTCTTAATTAGTCTACCACTATTAACATAAATTTAGTATCCCAAAACTAAGACTGCTCTCCTGGTATGATTCCCTAGGATAAACACTGGACTGCTAAACACAAGGTTGGTGATTCAAACCTACCAGCTGCTCCATGGAAACCCTACACAGGGTTTCTGATTCCATTCAACAACAACAAAATTAACATTTGCAAAGGCATTTCATTGTGTGGATCATAACAAACTATGGATAACCTTGCGAAGAATGGGTATTAGAGAACAGTTAATCATGCTCATGAGGAACCTGTATATAAACCAAGAGGCAGTTGTTCAAACAGAACAAGGGGCTATCGAATGGTTTAATCTGCATGGTGAATAATCTCAGAACTGAATTTATAAAGAAGAATGTGGCATTGGGATTAGAGGAAGATTTATGGATTATCTGCAATATACAGATGATACAACCTTGCTTGCTGAAAGCAAAGAAATACTAACTGATGAAGATCAAAGACTACAGTCTTAAAAATGAATTGTGTCTCAATGCAAAGAAAATTAAAATCCTTGTGATTGGGCCATTAAATAACATCAAAATAAATGGGAGAAAAGACTGAAGTTTTCAAAGACTTCAATTTGTTTGGACCCATAATCAATGCTCATGAAAGCAGCAGTCAAGAAATCAAACACTAAGCAAATCTGGTGCAAAAGACCCCCTTAAGTGTTCAAGACGAAAGATGTCACTTTGAGGATTAGGTGTGCCTGACTGTCTTATTTTTGATAGCCTCATATGCATGTGAAAGTTGGACAATGAATAAGGAAGACTATAGAGGAATTGATGCATTTGAGTTATAGTGTTGGAGAATGGGTATTCAAAGTACCATGGGCTTCCAGAAGAATAAGCAAATCTATGTTGGAAGAAGTACAGCCAGAATGCTCCTTAGAAGCCAAGATGGCAAGGTTTTGTATTTTGGGCATATTATCAGGAAGGACAAAGGGACTATGGGAGCATAGTGGTTACGAGTTGGCCTGCTAATCACACAAGCTGCAGTTCAAAACTACCAGCGGTTCGGGGGGGAAAAGATGAGGCTTTCTGCTCCTGTAAAGATTTACAGCTTCAGAAACCCTATACAGGGTCGCTGTGAGTTGGAATCGACCCCATGGCACACCACCACCACCACCATCAGGAAGGACTAGTCTCTAAAGAAGGACATCATCCTTGGAAAAGTGGGGGGGTCAGGAAAAAAGAGGAAGACCCCCAAGGATATGGATTGTCTCAGTGGCATCGACAATGGGCTCAAACAGCAACCATTGTGAGGATGGTGCAGAACCAAGGAGTGTTTCATTTTGTTTTGCACAGGATCCCTAAGAATGGGAATTCTCTGGACCACACCTAACAGGAACAATAAGCTAAGACTCTCGGCCTGCCTCGCACCCTTGGCAACCATAAACTGGTCTCTAAGCATTTGCCTATTTCATATAAGTGGAATCATACAAGCGGGCTTCAAAAAGTTTGTGGAAAAATTCCACAAATCTTTCAAATCCATTTTCCCACCCCAGAGAATCTGCCTTTTTATGGCTGATTTACCTCGATTAGCATAATGGCTTCAAGTGAAACCTGCTTTCTTTCCATCATGTTTCTTCTTTTATCCCCTTTCTCCTTCCCGGAAACCCCAAATTTATTACATTATTTAGAAATCACGAGTAGCACCACGGTAAATTAATAAATATGTGTTTGACAGTGCTTAACACAAGAAAGCATTACTATTTTATTCCACGTGTGGCAGGCAGGTGGATAATTTGCATGTTGGATAGAGATGAGGTTGTCAGGAGAGACCTTAAAAGGTGGAACTGAGGATCTTGACCTTCGTGGTCTCTCTTGCTGAGTTTCTCTGGACAGAAGCCGCCCTATCGATCGGTTCCTACAGGTCTCGCTTTTTCATAGGTTAGTTGGCTGCACTGTCCAGTCCCGGGTCCTCTAGAGCCGCAGTGCCTCCCCGACTTCTGTACGGACCCTCAGAATGGTCTTTTCTGGACCCGCTGCTCTGCAGTGGCAGTCGGAGCGGCGTGCGTGGGACCGCGATTCCAAGTCCTTCCAACTCACCTGCCTTAGGTCAACAACGCACTTCCTTCTCTCTAGGTGGGCCGGAAATGCTTCAGCATCCATCAGATCACCCAGCTTCTCCTGAAGTTCAGTTCGTGTCTGCTCCAAAACCTTCAGTCAGAAGTAGCAAAGCCCTCAATTCTAGACGCTTTAACACTCGCTTCCGAGTTCCTGGAGCCACTCTTGGTCTTGTCATTCTGGATGCAGGGGTTTCATTTTCCTTTCCAAGCACCACATCGGAAAAACTAGAGTGTAGAAATCTGCCCCCTCCGCCAGCCCAGCGAGCTGGGACCGGCCCACAGGAGTTCCTCGGCCTGCGCATGCGGACTCCCCAGCTGCCGCCCTCCGGTCCGCCGCGGCCGTTTGGTGCTCTCTGACAGCAGCACCGTCCACAGACGCAGCCTCATCTCGTGCTTCCACGTTATCCTATCAGAGAAGGGGCGGGGCGGCGGGCTGCTGAGCCTATGAGCGCGAACCACGACCCAGGTGCACCCAGTAGGAGAGCGCCATGAAAGAAGGTGATTGGACGGCGGCTCTCAGGGGCGTTGCGTCAGCCGGGCCCCGCCCACCGCTGCCTGTCTCTGCTTAGAGCCAGCAGCTGCCGAGGCCCGAGAGCTAGCAACACTGAGCGAGCACCGCTGCAGCTTCGGCGCCGGCGGGAGCTAGTCAGCCCGGCACCATTCCTCCTCCACACCGCCCGCCTTCTCGGACATGGTGGCCCCCGGCTCTGTGACCAGCCGGCTGGGCTCGGTGTTCCCCTTCCTGCTTGTGCTGGTGGACTTGCAATACGAAGGTGAGTCCTCCTTGCCCTGGCCGGGGAAGCGGGCGCCCGGGCCAGGCCCTCCGGCGCCTCCCCGCCTGCGCCCGCTGCGATTCTCCGTGCGGTTCGGGCTGTGAGGCGGGAGCGGGCCCAGCCGGCGGCGCGGCCTGGGCCTCAGCCTACCTCGGAGCGGAGATCGGCGCTCGGTTCCGGGTGTGTTTGTGGAGAAGGCGAAGGGACCTGCGGGCCGCGTGTGCGGAGTGCGGAGCGGGGTCACCGGGCGCGCAGACTGCGGACATTGGCCCCTCGGCCCGGGGCTCGCTGTAGAACTGGCTTGTCCACTGTGAGCATGTTGGGCGCTGGGAGGCGGCTGTGAAGGTGGCCAGAAGGGGAGGTGGCTTTCGCTGTGGAGTTCCCGGGGTGTGTATCCGGCCGGGTGCGGCGTAAGGGACCTGACCGACTGTCCTGTCCGTGAGCCACCAGCTCATCGCTGGACACTGTGTTGCCGGTGTGGGAACCCAGGCAAGGCCCCGAGTTCCTGGTCTCCCAACTCCCAACACTGGCTGTCTTTACTTTCCCGAGTTCTCGGAAGTAAGACCCTCTTAAAAAGAGAGTTTTACTTCCATTTCACTTGAGCTGTGCATGTGGGAATATTGACTCGTTTTAACCGAATAGCAAAGGAGCTCTGGTAGCGTAGTGGTTACGAACCGGGCTGATAATCTCACGGTCAGCAGTTCAAAACTACCAGCTGTTGCGCGGGAGAAAGAGGAGGCTTTCTGCTCCCGTAAAGATTTACAGCCTCGGAAACCCTGTTGCTATGAGTTGGAATTGGCTCCACGGCACATAGCCACTGCCCAATAGTTGTCAGCAGAAGAGTAAGAATTACAGCCGAAAGTGCTCTTTTCATGCACCTAGCTTGGTTAGCGTGTGAAATATTAAAACATAATGAGTATCCCGGGCCGGGATCTCTTCTCACTGCCCCTTCACTCGGCAATAAAAAGGGGCAGTAGTAACGAGGTCAGATGAAACAGTTTAATATTTCATTGCCCCCCATAAAATGTACCAGTAGTAAGGAGGTTACATGAAGTATTTTAGTATCAGGCTCAGAGCGAGGAACTGAAGTTAGAAATTGTTTATGTTGAAATCTCCAAATTTTCTTTTTTTTTTTTTTAAGCTAACATTTCCCAATTTTTCGGGCTTATTCATGGTGGTAGCTACTCATAGTGATCCTGTTTAGGGTTTCCAAGGAGTGGCTGGTGAGTTTGAACCACTGACCTTGCGATTGAACCGACCTTTTGGTCCAGTGCTTATCCTACAGCGCCACACCAAGACTCCATAATTGTTGTTGGTCGAGTCAGTTCCGACCCATAGTGACCCTGTATAAGAGTTCCAAGGAGCGACTCGACTCGTGAGCTTGAAGTGCCAGCCTTGTGGTTCAAACCGGCTTTGCGGTCCAGCGCATTAACTCACAGTGCTACACCAGCTAGGACTTGGGAATCCACAGTCATGGTTAGTTTTTGTTGTTTCCCTGGTGACCATATTTTTTAGAATCACAGAACTTGTAGTTTGACAGCAAGGAGACAGAAAATTGGACAGACAGGCTGCCCCAGGAAACCTGGGGGAATGAGTTTGAACCATATGGATGGCTTTAAAGTAGGTCATGTCACATGTGAATTGATCCCACCCCTGCCTAGTTCCTATTATAGCATTTATGTCTGTTGTGGTTATTGTTAAATGCCTTTGAGTCTGTTCGGACTCATAGGGACCCTATCCTGTACAGGGTTTCTGAGGAGAGGCTGGTGAGGTTGAACTACCAACCTTGCAGTTCAAACCGACTTTGCAGTCCAGCACATTAACCCACAGTGCCACATTGTCTAAGCACCCCAAATCAAACCTGTTGTCAAGGAGTCAATTCCGATTCATAGGGACCCTATAGGATAGAGTTCATCCTATAGGGTTTTCAAGGCTGCCATTCTTTAAGTAGAGCAACTCAGCTGGTGCAGCAGGTAAAGCATTGGGCTGCTATCAGCAAAGCTGGGAGCTCAAACCCACCAGCCTCTCCATGGAAGAAACTTAAGATTGTCTGCCCTCTTGAAGATTACAGTCTTTGAAACCCTTAAAGAGCAAGTTCTACTATGTCCTGTAAGGTTGCTAAGAGTTGGAATTGACTCCATGGCAGTGGGTTTTGGGTTTAATCTTTTCAGGAGGAAGAATGCCACATCTTTCTCCTGGTGGGTCCAAACCTGTTGGTTAGCCACTGCCACAAGGGCCCCCTCATTTATGTCCAGTGGGTTTGGTTTCACCACCGGTGATACTTAATTTGGCCACTTAAGAGAAAGAACGTTGGCTAGTTTTGTTAGTTTTGCAGAGGTTGCACACATTTGTATAACTGCATTTTCCAATAGCTTGTGGACCACCGTTCAGAATGCTAATCTCTTTAGACTTCTGTAGGTTTCTTAACTTTTCATTTCCCTCTTGTGATATAATCCATTCAATTGACAACATCTTTTGAGAGCTTTTTTGTGTTGTAAAGTCATTGGTGGCATTTGTTAGAGTGCCACCTGCTTTAGGAGCATTGCTTGTGGCAAGCTGCAGGAACTTTGTATAGGTGATTGGGAAGAAAAAAACGATGTAACGGTTCATTGTGAAGGAGCTGAGGGTAAACCCCACTGGCACCAAGAGTTTAATTGACTTGATGAAAGTCCCACTGCTGTTAAGTCTAAGAGCCAGCATTTGCACTCACGTTATTTGCCTCTAAAGTTGATCTTGTACCAAGGGACTTCAAAAAGTTTGTGGAAACGTGGAATGAAAAGATAATGTAAACTGGATACTGGTAGAGTCAGCCAAGTGCTTGGCAGCAACACGTTAGCCCCAGGATTTCTAAGTGGTGGCACCTGAGAAAACCCAGCAATTTTTGTTAGCTCTCCGCAGTAATGGATAGGTAGGTAATTTCGTGGCACGTTTCACATGGTGGTTCTCAATCTCGAGTGTGCATTAGAATCCTGAATGGAGGACTGCTTTTTAAAACAGAGGACTGGCTTGGCTCCAGATTTTTTCTGAATCAGTATGCCTGGAATATTATATTTCTGGAAAGTTCCCAGGTGACCACACACTGAGAACGACTGGTACAATAAATCAGTTGTTATTGTTAGCTGATGTGGAGTATACTCCAGCTCGTGGTGACCTTGTGTGCAACAGAATGAAATGTTGTGTGGTCGCATGCATCCTACTTTCATTACTGGCATGTGCGTTCATGTGACTGTTGTACCAGTCCATCTCCCTTACTCCGTACTCACAAGACATGATGCCCACCTCTAGCCATTACCCCCTTCTGATGTTGTGTCCAAAGGAAGTGAGTCCGGCAGTGTTTTGTGGTGACCCTTATGGTTTTCATCGGGTAATTTTCAAAAGCAAACCAGCAATCCTTTGTTCCGAGTCTGTCTTAGTCTGGGAGCTCCACTAAACCCTGTTGGCATTGGAGATGCTGGTGGAGTAGTGTAAGGCATCGTTGTTGTTGTTAGGTGCTATTGAGTCAGCTACAGCTCATAGTGACCCTATGCATTGTATGGTCGTGCACTATCCTCACAATGATTATGCTTGAGCCCGTTGCTGCAGCCACTGTGCCACTCCATCTTGGTGTGTGTGTTGAGGTGGGGGTGGGGGGGAATTTACCTCTTTTCCCCTGACCTTCCACTTTACCAAGCATGATGTCCTTCTCCAGGGACTGCCCCACCCCCACCGCCACCCCCAGTAATGTCTGAAGTATGAAAGACGGAGTCTCGTCAACCTGTCTTCTAAGGAACATTCTGATTGTACTTGTTCCAACACAGGTTTATTTGTTCAGGCAGTGCATGGTACTTTCAATATTCTTTCCAACACTATAACTCAAACGCATCAATTCTTCTGTGGTCTTCCTTTTATTCATGGCCCAAATTTCACATATGGTACTGTGGGATAAAGCACTGGAAAGGTTGGTTGAACTATAGGGCCAGCAGTTCAAACTCACCAGTCGCTCCTTGGAAACACTATACAGGGTAGCTATGAGTCAGAACTGATATGACGGCACTTAACAATAACAACAATCCTGTTGAAAATCCCATGGCTTGGGTCAGATACACCTTAGTCCTCAAGCTGACATCCTTGCTCTTTAAGGCTTTAAAGAGGTCTTGTGTAATAGATTTGCCTAATACAGATGTTTGTTTGATTTGACTGCTGCTTCCATGAGTTTGATTGAGGATTCAAGTAAAACGAAGTCTTTGACAACTTCAGTCATTTCTCTATTTATCATGTTAATTATTGGTCCAGTGACGAGGATTTTTGTTTCTTAACACATTGAGGTACAATCTTTACTGAAAGCTGTCTTTGATCTTCATCTGTACGTTTTTAAATCCTCTTCACTTCCAGCAAGTAAGGTTGCCTCTGTACATAGCACACACATAATTTAATCCCTGGGTGGTGCAGATGGTTAACACGCTCTGTGATAATCTGAAGGTTGAAGTCTCTAGTCTACTCCAAGTCACCACAGAAGAAAAGCCTGGCAATTTACTACTGAAAAAATGAGCCAGAGAGAACAAACAAGATGGCGGATCGGGTGGACGTATAGCAGAGAGCTCCGCCAACAACAAC